ATTATTTAAATTATATTCCGTATTTTATTAATGAAATAAAGTAAGAATTATATGAAATATACTCCGTATAAAATAGCTAACATATATGATTTCTTAAGCAAATTGAGTCAAATAGTCCACAAGTTTTATTTTGATAATATTTTAAGCAAAATCTCATAATTAAAATCTAAAAATGTTAGATGAGAAAAAAAAATAGATTACATCCCGGTCTGTTTCCCACTACATCTAATAACTATTCACTCGATTCATCTTAATCAAAATCAAAATTTCTAACGTAATTATATTTAAAAACTTTGATTCCATTTTATCCTTTGACCTCAATACAAGCACTCTCCACCATGCCTATGACGCAGTTAAAATAAAAGCACTCCCCTTAATAGAACCCTCAACAACTCAAAGTAGTGTTGTTTTTCTTTTAATTTGAATTGGTTGTAATATAAAGGAGTGTTTGGGGTTGCTTAAAAAAAGCACTTTCCAGCTTTTGGCTTAAAAAAAGTTGAAAAGAGTGTTTTCAAATGACAGCTTCTGCTTAAATTAATCACTTAAAAGCTAAAAGCTGGAAGCAGGTAGAAGGGTGTTTTAAACTGCTTCTCACTTTTTCTATTACACAAAAAGTACTTATTTTACCAACACTACCAACTTTTACTTTTTCAGAATCACTTTTTTCTCAAACACTACTAACTTTTACTATTAATCACTTTTCCCAAAATCACTTTAAAAAATCACATTTTTAAAGTTGAAGCAATCGCAAACACTCCCTAAGTGTATTACACACTAGTCAAGTTCTGATGAAATCTGGTGGGACCGCAGGTCCTAATTAAAGGGGCATCTATCCCGGCGGTGGGTGGAACCCAAGGACACACAATTATCATATGTAATGTAGATTACGTCTCATACTTAATTTTATTAAAGGAGCGTATATGACAATTAAATAAATACTCCCTCCATTTCTAAAAGAACCTCACACTTTCCTTTTTTGGATGCGCCAAAATAAAAGTCACACTTCCCTTATTTCCTTATTTGGCAAACAAATCTACATCCAAACAGTGCCAAACAGTGTCCAAACAGTGCCAAACAGTGTCTAAACAGTGTTTTCTACAGTAAAGTCAATTTATTTCCTTAATAATCGTGAAGTCAAACCGTGACTTTCTTTTAGAAATGGAGGGAGTACTTATTTTTGGTCGAAAATCTAATTAGTTTTTTTTTGAGAGAATTCCCTAAATATGAGTAAAACCTTTTTGAAATTCCAAAATAGGAGTATTATGTTTTTTATTCCTTGAATATGAGTAAATTTCTGCCAAGTTTGGCATTACTAGGCTTTAAACATGACATTTTTTTCAAAATTTGGCAGATCGATTACTCATATTCAGGGAATAAAAACATGACACTTCTACTTTGAAATTTTAAAACGTTTTTACTCCTGTTTAAGACAATTTCTATTCTTTTTTTTTGTTTGAAAAACCTCTGTAAGTAACATACGAAGTGGTCATTTTCCTTTATGTATGAGTAACTGAATAGATTTTTGAATATGTCACTAACCGTGCAACGTACGTGTAATTATATTCAGTAGTTGATACGAAGTTGTATCCAAAATGATCGAGATAACATGAACGATGTTAAATCAGATGGTAGAGTATCACCTACATTAATCATTAAAGTTCAATAGATATCGTCACACAAATCAAGCTGCCGTTGTAAAAAAAGTTGCAGCCGGCCCTAAAAGAACGTGACGTTGGTTCCGTTCCTTAGCTTTTCACTCACATTCACGTTTCTTAAGCTTCTATATATATATATATCCCCACAGACTTGATTGTTTTCAGGCTTCATTGTTTCTTAGATACACACTAGCTAATTTTAGAGCGCGCATCATCACATTAATCTAAAACTGTGTGTTAGAAAGATCAGATCAAAGTGCGATTATATAACGTCGGATTACATATATTATCAGATAGATCTTCACACGAATTAAGCAAGCTGCCGTTACGTTGTAAAAAAACAAATTAAAGGTGCCGCCCTAAAAGAAGGTGACGTTGCTTCCGTTTCTTCACTCCTGATTGGTCACGTTTCTTCACATCCGATCGATCACGTTTCTTCAGCGGCTATCATATCCCCCACAGACAGCCTTCATTGTTTTCAGGCCATCCCCGGGATTGAACCACTATAAATACACTCTAATCTTAGGTTAATTACCGTGCAACGTACGTGCAATTATATTCATAGTTGATATTCAATTTGAAGTTGGATCCAAAATGATCGAGATAACATGAACGACGTTAAATCAGATCGTAGAGCATCACATTAATAATGAAAGTTCAATTCTGTATAATAGCAGCGAGAAATAATCTAAAACTGTGTGTGAGAAAGACGAGATCAAAGTGAGCTGAGATTATATGTTGAAATCACATTGTCCGAGTTGGATTATTAAAAGACATAAAAGTTGTAGCCCTAAAAGAAGGTGACGTTCGTTGTTTCCGTTCCTTTTTCTCTCATCGATCACGTTTCTTCAGCGGCTTCTCTATCCCCCACAGACAGGCCGGCTTCATCGTTTTCAGGCCATCCCCTGCTATAAATACACTCTAATCTTAGGTTAGTAATCCGTACATCTCCTCAACCCTAGCCTTGTTAAGCTCTGATCTTCAACTCTAGTTACCTTTGGTTTTTCTAGATCGAAGGTATCTCACAACTTTCTGCGCGCTGTAAGTATTTCTTCACTTGTTAATGCGCTGGCTCAATTGCATTCAAGAGATTGACTCAAATTCAACACTAAAATCTTTATATATATATATAAAAGTTACGTTCGTGATTTAATTTGTACAAGTATATGCTTTCCTACTGCTTTTGCAAGTACCTTTAATTAGTTGGATGAGATTATACAAATTACATCAAAATTTGACCTTTTGTAGTCCTATAATAAATTCCGACTGCTAGTTTTTTAGCAGATTTTCTCGGGTGAAGATTTTATTTGTAGCAGATTACGTACGTCTGTTTGCAAGGACTGAAATGAGTGAACCTGTAGCATCATGATAAAAATTATTTAATCTATATTTTTAATAAAGTGTGAAAATCAAAGTATGGGTAAAAAATACTCGGTAGTTTTTTTTTTAATATCTTGGATTAAATTTTGGATGGGGGGATTAGCTTGTGCATTCCGTTACAAGAGAACTCTTTTGAACTCCAATGTTGTTGAGAATTTTTTATGTAATTTGGGAGTGGTATAAATTCTCTTCAATTTCACTTTTTCTCCTTATTTACTTTAGGGTGCACGGTCAAAGGTTAGTTGTATGATAAAATTCCGGCCAGAAAGAACACAGCAATATGACCACCAAATTAATTAAAAATGCATTTTATTTGTTTTCATTTTAAGAACTTTATTTTTTTTGGATACTGCCCATATCAGTTATACACTTATAATATTGTTGAACCCTAAATAAACGTTGGACGTTAGTGACAAGTTGATTTATGGAACTGGTAGTCAAATTTGTTGAAATGGGTAGGAATCTAATGTTCAAGCCTTTTTTCCCTTTATGCGTATCAAACCAACTTAAATGTTTCATTTTATAATTGCGATTCATTATGTTTAACCGTTATACCCCAGGCACAAATAAAATTCTATAAATAAGAGTAATAATGCACTGTGAGTTCTGGTTGAAGTTACTGGATTGACTGATTTTGCTGATATATGAAAAAATATTATTTACAATTTTTTTTATTACTACCTCCGTTCCTAAAAATTCTTCCAAGTTTGAATGGCACGGTCATTAAGAAAGTGGAAATGTGGGGTTGTGGTTGTGTAAGAAAAAGTTAAACTGAATGTGAATCACACAAATTGTCCAAAAAGGGAAAGTGAGAAGTATTTTTGGGAACGAAGGCATGAGGGAGTAATAGAATAAAGAAAAAAAAGTTGATAAAATAATCATCTACTGTAACTTTATCCTATACGGCCATAAACGTAAATCTAACCTTATCTTTTCTAATTATTACACAATTCAACGCGCGAAATCAAAAGTTACACGTTTGGTGAAAAAATTGATTGATAAGTTTGATATTTGATTGCTTGTAATATGTTTGCTTGTATCTCTATCTAAAATATGATTTGATATGGTTGCTTGTACCTCTATCTAAAATATGATTTATTCCCTGCTATTTTGAATTTTTTACATTTTTACCTTTTATAATTAAGGCTAAATAACTCTTTACTTAGGATGTGTTTAATTGGACTGTTTTTAACCCCAAGTCACACCACAACAAACTTTAACACATTATCTCATTATACTTCAATGATGGTGAAATACACATAAAACAAAATTTATAAAACTCATTCAAACAAAACTTAAACATTACAACAAATTAGACTCAAAAGGTTCAAACAAATTAAAAACGTATAGGGAGTCAAACACAGTGCGTAATCCTACTTTATTTCGATCTTATCTATTAATTCCAACTCTTTTGAGTAGTTTCTTCAACTAAAATCCATATATACTGTACTAATTAATCCACAGGTAATTTCTCGTGCTAGCTTAGCTCTTTTGACCGTAAGAATGACGAGAGGTGAAGGTCCATCTTCAACATCACCAATGGAGAACGACCTCTCTTTGGTTCCACCTCATCATAACCCTGCAGAACACCATGCCCAGCAGCAGGGAGACACCTTTGCACGAAGAGGCTTGTTCCTTGCTCATCTCCTTCTCACATGTCTGGCCTTCGTTGCTTCTGGAAACCTTGCAAATGCCAGTATGGTCCTAGATCAAATCTCCCAACTTGCCTCTCCCAACGGCGATGCGATGCAAAGGGTCGCCGCCCACTTCATCTCCGCCATCGCCCACCGCATCATTAGGGTTTGGCCGGGGTTGTATCGAGCCCTTAACGCTACTGCCATAACACCCACCGCTGGATATGAAAAGGCCGTCCGGAAAATGTTCTTTGACCTTTGCCCTTTCATGAGACTTTCGTATGTGATGACGAATGAGGCTATAATGGAAGCTATGGAGGGGGAGAAGGTGGTCCACATTATTGATCTTAGCCCATCTGAACATTTTCAGTGGCTGAGCCTTCTCCGTGCCATGAGTACACGCCCAGAAGGCCCTCCTCATCTAAGGCTCACAGGTTATTATGTTAAGTTATTGAATGCTTCACAAAAATAAACCGAATGCTAACAATATTCACTTTTTTGTTTTTTATTTAAATATTACAGATAATATATATATATAATTTTACAATATTATAGTTTCATTTAATCTTATTTATACTATATAATGGAAATATTTGAACTTAACATTACATATAGACACATATATAGTACACACACATCAAATTCTCTATTGTCTTTTATTCCTTATCAATATATTATTTATATTCATTATAATAAAGAATATTTCAAAGTACATTAGTAATACTCCATTAAATATTAATACAAAGTATATGATAATTACTTTTAATTTAGTCAATTTTATAAATAAATATCTCTTATATATTGAACATATGACATACTGAATCATCATAGTAGAAATGTGCAGTGCGTGTTTATTACATTCATATTTATGAAAATTTGTGTCTAGCTTTACTTTTCACATGAAAAATTGCATCGAGCAGAAAATTAAAGGCACCCGCCGTCTTTTTCGGGATTTTTTGGCAAAATTAAAAGTGTACATTCATGCGGGAAATTCCTTAAATTACATAAATTTGTTAATTGTAGGACAAAATTTGTAAGAATGAAATTGGAAATCTCGTGAAAAAAAGTACTACGTAGAATACATTCTTATAAATACTCCGTATTATAAATAGTACAAAACCAAAAAGGGTCCCTCAACTTTACATAAATACATACGGTGTACTACGTCATATATACATGCATGTATATATATTGCAATTATTTTTAAAAAATTAATAGGATAAATTCTGGACAACAAAAAAATGACTACAAGAAAATATATTAGGGTAGATATTATTTATAATTGAATATAAAATTATTGGCACACATGTTGTTGCACTACAAAATACGACGGAATTGACACTGAATTGGCACGGAATTGGCACAGAATTGGCACGGAATTGGCACAGATTTTCCAAAATCCACGGGAGATTTGGCACGAATTTGTCATGAGCTATGTCAAAATTATGTTATTCTCCGTGCCAAATATGTGCCAATTTGATTTTTTAATAATGTTGGATGAGTTTAGTATTTCAATTCAAAACAGGTGTTCACGAGAATAGAGTGGTTTTGGAAAAAATGGCTCGACAACTTAATGCAGAAGCTGAGAAACTGGATATCCCTTTCCAGTTTAACCCTATTGTGAGTAAACTAGAGGATCTTGAGATGGAGATAAGTCTTCATGTGAAGATGGGGGAAGCTCTCGCCATTAGTTCCGTGCTTCAGCTTCACCGCCTCTTGGCATTCGATTGTAACTCCACCGGGCCTTCTTCTTCGTCTTCACCAAAGATCATCACTTTCTTGAGCGCTTTGCGGAGCCTATCCCCGAAGATCATGGTGATCACCGAGAAAGATTCTGACCACAATGGGCTTCTTCTGGAAGAGAGGTCAATCCAGGCTCTGAACTACTATGCGGCGCTCTTTGACTGCATGGAATGCACCGTTCCACGAGCTTCTGTTGAGCGCCAGAAGGTGGAGCACTTGCTTTTCGGGGAGGAAATAAAGAACATTGTTTCTTGTGAGGGTGTCGAGAGGAAGGAGAGGCATGAGAAAGTAGATAAATGGATTGCTAGGCTCCAGCTCTGTGGGTTCAGGAGGGAGCTTTTGAGCCATAGGGTGATGATGCATGGGAACAGGTTATTACTTGATCAAAATAACCACATTGGGTACAACATCAAAGATAGAGATGGGTGTTTCCTCATTTGCTGGCACGAGTACCCCATCTTTTCTATTACAGCTTGGAGCTTCTACAGGTACAATGGTGTTGGATAAGTGTACCTCCCATCTCATCCATATTGTCTAAACATTGTTGTATAATAACAAATTACTTTCCTATAGCAATTGTGTTGTTTTGTTTATGTTCATGTAAACCTCTTTCTATTTTCCATGCATGCAATTTTCATCTTCTTTTCATCAATGCAACTACTTAATGTTTTGTTTGTCTTTCGCCGTGTACACTATGACAAAATCAAATTTGAAAACAAATGATGGGGATACAATAATAACAATTGATTTTATCGTACAAGTGAGTTGCACATAACATGCACGTGATAACAATTCACTAACAAATGATTTTATCGTACAAGTGAGTTGCACATGACATGCACGTGATAACAATTCACTTAAAAAGCATTCTCTATTATGTTTTATTCTTTATCAATACAAAAGTAGTATTTATATTCATTATTTTAGAGATTTCAAAGTAATTTAATTAGAAATTCTCCATTAAATATGAATAAAGTGTAGAAGATAATTACGGAGTATTTTTAAGTTAGTCAATTTTATAAGTAGATATCTATTATATATATATATTAAATAGATGAGATACTAAAATATTACTCCGTATAAAAGAAACGTGTTTGCATTCATAGTTACGAAACTTTGTATATTTAAGTAAATTAAATATAAATTCAAACATATTTATCTATTATAATTTAGTATCTCATCCATTCAAATAATAGGAGATTTCAATTTTTTACATTTGATTAATTTAAAATAATTATATTACTGTGTACTAATATTTGATGTAGTATTACTAAAACTACTTTGAAATCTATATCGTGATGAAAAACTAATGAGTATATGTCTTATGAGTATGTGTTTAAATCTTTCTTCTATATTTAGGAAAAATAATGAGTATTAAATTTAATTATAATGGAAGTAAGTCTAAGAGCACATATAATATTTTCAATACTTATATATCTATTTTTGCTTCATTATTTTAAGAAAAAACGACATAACATTAAATCGTAGTTTATTTTTGTGAAGCGGTTTAAGTAGTTTGGATTATTATTGCAAACTTTTCTAGTAGGGAATATTTTTCTAAAATAAGTAAAAGTAGAGATTATTTTTGTCAATTTCACAAATAATTTATATAAAATACTATTTTCCACTTTTCACATTTGCTGATGCAACACGTTTCACTTTTCTCGAAACACAACTTTGACGTTCTTGAACAGTGTACAACAATTTACTTTCCGCATTTGCCGATGCATGTGCAACTTTGCGCATTAGTATATTTAATTCTCTATTAGTAAAAAATAAAATAAGATTTTTAGAATTTACTATTAGACAAATTTAGATCTATTGTTTAAAAATAATTTATTATAAAATTAATAAACAAAACATAGTCAAAATACAGCATTTGAATAGTGTAAATTTAATATGTTGCACTTATTTAAAAATGGAGGCCGGTAGTGAGTTTTAAAATACACTACATATTTATATAAAATAAATGTTGGGATCCCTCCTTAATTGAGAAGTTAATGAGAAATCTAGAATAGTGCGAAGATGTCTAGAATTTTCTAGATGTGTGTAGAGAAGCATTGAATGTTCTAGAATATTCTGGAGCTTTCTAGAGAGACGTGGAATTATTTAGAAGTGTGTGGAAGAGTATAGAATATTCTAGAACATTGTGGAGCTTTCTAGAGAAGTGTGGAATTCTCTAGAATCGTGCAGAAGTGTGTAGAAGCCTCTAGAATATCCTGGAGCAGTGTGGAGTTCTCTAAATCCTTCTAGAAGAATAGAGAAGCTTGTGGTCACTTCTTGGAAGAATCTAGAAGTATAGAGAGTTCTAGAGGAGCTTGAGGAGATTAGTATAAATAGGAGTGAAACTCCTCATTCTAGAGAGAGAGCCTCTAGAGTGAGAGCCATGAGGAGGTCCTAGAGTGAGAGGCTAGAGAGAGCCTCCTCAAGTGATGAGAGAGAGATCCTTGAGGAGGGCTATTAAGTAAGTGAAGGCCTCCTCTAGAGAGGGATGTGAGAGTGAAGTAGTCTCATACAAAGAGTGATGTGAGCTACTCGATTACTTGTAAAATCTTTCTTGTACATTTCAATTGTATAATACAAAGTGTTATTGTTAGATTGAGCCTTTGTATTAAGAGTGGATGTGTGAGTGTACAAGAGTCCTTTGAGCTCGTGATCCTGGAAGAGGTCGGGGTGTCGTGTTTTCCCCAACAGTGGTACCAGAGCCGAGGTTATTGGAGGTGGAGAAACGGGTAGAGTTCTTCATGGGGATGGATCTCGTTTTAATTACTGTGTTGGTAGCGGCATTGTCAGAGGCATTCGAGATCACACTTTTTGATGGGATGATGGACTTCACTTTAGAGCTTGGGTCATACATATATGGAGGAGCGGTGATGAGATGCATTGTGTGGGTGGTTCTCAGTTTGGTCTCGCGATTTGATTTGTTAGTGGTGCGTTGTATCGAAAGTCTTCCTGATGTTGTGGTGGTCAGGCGGTGTGTCCCGTTGGTAAACAACGGCGGTACAAGAAGAATTGCAGGTCAAGTGTCGGCGGAAAGGAGATCTTCTTGAGAACATCTCATATAGGGTTTGGTCTTGCGATTTGATCTACTATTGGTGCGTTGTATCGAAAGTCTTCCTGATAATGAGGTGATCAGGCGGCGTGTCCCGTTAATAGATAACGGCGGTACAAGAGAGTTTGGTGGATCATTTCTTGCTGCGGAGGAGATCATGACCATTCCTTGTAGCTGCTCATATGGTGTGATGCAAGCATTGTTTGAGGGGGAGCAACTCACATGAAGGTGGAGGCCAGTGAGTCTAAATGTGAGACTATTATTGGTGGTTGACTGCTACTTCTCAATTAAGTCGGTAGGGGGAGATTTGTTGGGATCCCTCCTTAATTGAGAAGTTAATGAGAATTCTAGAATAGTGCGAAGATGTCTAGAATTCTCTAGATGTGTGTAGAGAAGCATTGAATGTTCTAGAATATTCTGGAGCTTTCTAGAGAGACGTGGAATTATCTAGAAGTGTGTGGAAGAGTATATAATATTCTAGAACATTGTGGAGCTTTCTAGAGAAGTGTGGAATTCTCTAGAATCGTGCGGAAGTGTGTAGAAGCCTCTAGAATATCCTGGAGCAGTGTGGAGTTCTCTAAATCCTTCTAGAAGAATAGAGAAGCTTGTGGTCACTTCTTGGAAGAATCTAGAAGTATAGAGAGTTCTAGAGGAGCTTGAGGAGATTAGTATAAATAGGGGTGAAACTCCTCATTTCTAGAGAGAGAGCCTCTAGAGTGAGAGCCATGAGGAGGCCCTAGAGTGAGAGGCTAGAGAGAGCCTCCTCAAGTGATGAGAGAGAGATCCTTGAGTAGGGCTATTAAGTAAGTGAAGGCCTCCTCTAGAGAGAGATGTGAGAGTGAAGTAGTCTCATACAAAGAGTGATGTGAGCTACTCGTTTACTTGTAAAATCTCTCTTGTACATTTCAATTGTATAATACAAAGTGTTATTGTTAGATTGAGCCTTTGTATTAAGAGTGGATGTGTGAGTGTACAAGAGTCCTTTGAGCTCGTGATCCTGGAAGAGGTCGGGGTGTCGTGTTTTCCCCAACAATAAATAATGCATGTATTTCTTGTATTCAATCACTAAAAAAATTCTAGCGTAATTCAAAATTGTTGATTCCATTTTATCCTTTGACCTCAATAGACGCACTCTCCAGTCTTCACAAACTGTTGTTTGGTAGTTTGGTTGTTTTACGACGTGATTTGCGTTCCTTTGGTGAATTATACACTAGCGAAGCTCTCGTGAGTCGTGACAATATAATATAGTGGGCCCACTTCAGGTCCTAAAAATGGTGAGCCCGGCGGTGGGTGGACCCCATTGCGGGAAACACAATTATAATACTACGTATGTAACTTAGATTACGGCTTTATTTGCAACCACTTATGCTTAAATAAAAGCACTTTTTGGGAAAAAATGATTAGTAGTAAAAATTGGTAGTGTTTGGTAAAATAAGTGTTTTTTGTGTAATAGAAAAAGTAAAAAGTCGATTCTACACGAAAACCGAGATAATAAAAGTTGGTAGTGTCTGGTAAAATAAATGTTTTTTTCTTAAAAAAAAAGCCAAAAACACTTATAAATAGAGTTTGCAAACAGAGCCTACGTCTCATATTTGATTTTATTAATGGTGTATATATGACAATTAAATAAATAGATGTATATGGAGTATAATGTTATCTGTTACTTAATAGTTGCCATAATGTAATTTTTGCACTAATTTTTTTTAATGAAGGAGGCTTAATTTGATATCACAGCATTCAGCATTCAGATAGGGGTTAAAATAACAAATGAACCATATATAACCATCCGCCCTTGAATCAGACTCAGAGTTGATTATCATTGACAAAGCAATATAACTCGTTGATCCTAAACTGGGCATAATTGAGCCAAAGACGGTTATCGCAGTACTCTCATCCCCCAATCCTAATGCAAAAGTCTTACAACAGTAAATAATATAAAACCAATAAACAACAGTCACCACGTGAAAAATAAAATGCAAAACAGCAATAAAATAAAAACCAAAGTTTGTCTTCTTCAGAAGGAACACCACTCTTCTTGGCGGTGGTTCCGGAGGGGGGCGGACCATCGACACTTCATCTTTTTTCCATCATCTTCAACAGTAATTTTTGCATTGTTAACATACATGAACTAACCATAATTTTCTACTAATATATGTAATCATATTATTATGTATAAAATATTACTAAATTTTTATTAATGTGATTGTCCAAAATATTAATTTTTTATAATATTTACTAATACGTAGTACATAATTAAATATAATTACACTCGAAGTTATACGTTAACAAACGTGAAAGTCAAACTGTTACAAGAAATTTCAATGTCGTGTGCAAGGAAATTTACAAAATCGCAGAATTACTATGTAATTTTTTGAGTACTATGTAGTATATGAATACAAGATGCTTTATAGCATATATTTTCTTAGTTCAAATTTAAACATTTAGTATGTGATTTTGGTTTCATCTAACCATCGCTTGAAAAGGCACTCCATATGTCATATATATGTTTTCAAGTGCTTAAATTCTTGATCAACATTTCTCTATACAGTCTAAGGGTGAATGAAGGTTAGGGGCAAATTGGCATTAAAAAATGTTGGTGGTATAGGTATGCAACACCCACATGTACCACAAAGCTTTATCATAAATTGTCCTATTATATTCCATTTTATTTTCTACTTTATGCCCAAACTCCGTTAGAGTGAAACCATTTCCGTTTAAATCATTCAATGCTAATTAATAGGTTTATTGAATCTGATGGACCCATGCTAACTTTATACATAAATAGTTAAATAAATAATGATTTTTTATTTTCTGAAGTGGTATTTTTAATTTTTAGTAAACCTTGTGCTAATTAGAAATTACGTTTCTTCAATATATGTTCTTTTTATATTGTTATTCATTATCTTCCTAACAAAAAATAATAATAATAATCTTACTACGTAATGGAAAGCTTTTCAATTTTCATCATTTGATATGTGAGATTTTAATATTCACTAAGATTAACGTAGGATTACTAATGCTGGGCATTTACCAAAGTGACATTTTTAGTCATGATTCTATTTTTAACCTTTTTGAAAATTGTTGTGTAACAAGTAAACATTTTCGCGTATCTGAAAATATAGTACAATCTAAATCTTTCTGATGTGTATTTCTTTCACCTGATATAGTCTAAATCTTTTTACTGTGATCTGATCTGAATCTTTCCGATGTACGATCTGATGTGATTTTTTCTAATGTGATTTGGTCTTTATTTTTTAGATTTGACATGATCTAAATAAAATAAGAACGAACAATAAGCAATAAAAATAAGATGAACAAAATAACTCCTAACAAAGTGATGCAGCCAAATCATTGTTGGGTGTGTCTCGGAAAAACAAAGAAAAATTAATTAAAATGACAAAAGAAATAAAACAAGAAAGAGATGGGGCAGGAAATAGTTAGAGCTCGTGCTACGCACAATGTCCTTAAAATGTATTCGTTGCCCCGCACTGTGCTAGGAGCCTTGCAACAACCGTTTCCCAAGATACAGTGGCTAATGAACGATCGTTTGAGCACACAAACGAAAGTTCCGGCGAACGAAAACACAAGTAGCTAGAACACTCGGGAATATTTTCGGAAGCTGGAGGTGATTTTAGCTCTCAAAAGTACGTAAGGATGTGTATGAACGTGTGTTGTTGCAAAACACATGTTAGCTACATATAGGGACGAATTTGTTGAGTGTTAAGTGACCTTTAATAGACATGAACGTTGGACATAAATGACCAGCACGTTGGGCATTAATATGTTGAAAAACTGTCCATTTAAAGACACATTAAAAGATAAGAACATTGGACAATAAATTTCACAACGGATGAGAACTGTTCAGGTGCGCGACCAAAACACCCATAGGTCTTCTGGTTCCGAAGCCACCAGAACTGCTCTCTAGGTTCTCGGAAGCCACCAGAGCTGCTCTTTTGGTCAATGATTTGATGTGGAGATTATTTCACAAAGTGAATCTCAGCATGCATCTAAATGTTAAATGCTAAAAACTCAAAGTTATTTTTAAATCACAATATGTACAATATGGAATTTTAAAAAAATACATTGGACATTCACCCAATCGCGTAACGCGCGTATAATAACTAGTATTTGAGAATAATCACTAACCGTGCGACTTACGTGTGACTTACTAATTGATGTTAAATTTGATGTTGTATCCAAAATGAGATAACTCGAACAACGTTAAAGCAAATTAAATCGTAGAGCACCACATCCATGAAAGTGTGAGAATAATGGAATGACTTACCAATGTGATAGCCCTGGATGTCATATATATAATAAAGGAGTATCCTGATTACAATAGGAACCTGATAAAATATGGAAAGCTAATTAATGCTAATTAATATTCTTAAATACACTATTACACCCTCTCAATCTGTGCACGGGAAACAACGCGCAGATTGTCTCTAAGAAAAATAAACCGCTGCGGAGACAAGCACTTGGTGAAGATATCTGCAAGCTGAAACTGTGTAGGAACATGACGAACAATTAAATCTCCATGTGAGACACGCTCTCGAACAAAATGATAATCAATGCTGATGTGTTTGTTGCGTGCATGCTGAATAGGATTAGTAGATAAATATGAAGCGGAGACATTGTCACACAGCAAACGGACAGGCGTGCAAATAGGAACGCCTAATTCGAACAAAATGGACCGGATGTGTAATGTATCCTGAACAGTGTAAGCAATGGCCCTATATTCGGCTTCAGTAGAGGATCGGGAAACTGTAGGTTGTTTCTTGGACTTCCAAGAGATCAAATTTAAACCCAAGAAAATAGCAAAACCAGACGTGGACCGACTACTGTCAGGGCAACCGGCCCAATCAGCATCAGAATAGGCATGAACAGTAGGAGACGACCGATCTGGCTGAAGCAATAGGCCGTGAGCTGAAGTTCCTTGTAAGTACCTGAAAATGCGCTTAACAGCCAAAATATGTGAACTACGAGGAGCATGCATAAATTGGGAAACCAGGTGAACAACAAAAGTAATATCAGGTCGAGTCATGGTTAAATACTGTAAAGCACCTACCATACTTCTGTACTCAGTAGGATCTGCAAGAAGTTCACCATCAGTGAGAGATAATTTAGTCCGAGAAGGAAGAGGGGTGCGAACAGGTTTAAGTGTATGAAGATGAAATCGGGCTAATAGATCAGACACATTTTTGTTGGGATAAAAACAGACCTTTAGAGAGACGAACAACTTAGACACCCATGAAAAAATTTAAATCCCCCAAATCCTTCATAGCAAAGTAATTACCCAGACAGGAAATAAATGAAGAAATAAAGGAAGGAGAATTTCAGTAATAATAATATCATCCACATAGAGGAGAAGGTAGAGAACTAGACCTGTACAAAACCGGGCCGGCCCGCCCGGCCCGCCTGCACAAATTAGCGGGCTTGGGCATATATATTTACCCACCGGCCCGGCCCGTGCTCGGCCCGCAACAACATATGGGCGGGCTTGGGTTAGGGTGTAGGCCCGTTCGGGCCGATAAGCCCGGCCCGCTACATTTAGTATATATACATATATATTTTTATATATACTAGTTTATGTATTTATTTACATGTACACATGTATATTTTTATATTTAATTTACTAATTTATCTGTATACATATTTATAGTTTATTATGTTTAAATTTAAGTTTTTAGTTCTTAACAAATAGTCCAACCAATACAATATCTATTTTTGTACTTAACGATAATACTTTGTGCATGAATTTTAAATTTTAGATATAGTTTCTCATTATTATTTTTGTGTAAATATTTTTTGTGTATGTGATGAAAGGCCTATATACATTATAAGCGTATTAGCAATTTTTTAAATTTTGTAATATTATTTTTAAAGTATTAAATAAATTATATAATTTTGAAAAATTTAAAGTATTCCCGGGCCCGGCGGCCCGGTGGACTACCCGGCCCGCTCTTACGGGCGGGTATGGACATGGGGTTAGGCCCGTTTTTGCGGGCCGGGCCCGCCCACACACGATGGGCAGAAAACTTATGAAAAGCCCGGCCCGAACCCGCTTTTGTGCAGG